GAGAGGAACTAAGCTACAACGAAAGGCAAAATGGAGTGCTAATACAGAGGCACGAGCGTCTCAAGGTCAAGGACCGTGTCTTAATCATACGTGAATGTTCAAGCACTTGGCAGGGCGCCGGGTGCACAGCAGGTCGTCAGCATATGTCTCCCGAGTAACCGCAGAGGAGGAAATCTCTCCTTTGGACTCTGTGCCTTTCAGAAGCTATGAAACTTCTGCCCTTTTCCTAAGCCGGCTGGCCCTAACATACCTATTTGCCACTTCTCTTCACCTTTACGAACCTCTTGGATTCTGGCTGCTACTTGTACTTCTAATGCTTAAATATGACCACTGCTGCTACCACCTCACGTTATTGGGTGTTAACTATGCATAAAGACTATACTTACTATTTTACATATAGTAACTCATTTTATCTGCACAAAATCACAGATTGATATTGGTACTTAATTGTGTCCATTTTAGAGATGAGAAAACTGAGGCTCAAAAAGGTTGAATGGCTTGTCCAAGGTCCCCCAGTTAGTAAATAATACAGGCAAGAATGAACTCAGGCAGCACAATGCCAGTATCCACCTTCCCGGCTTTGAGTTCCTGAATCTGAATGGCCACACTGCCTGGACCTGTCCGAGGTCTACTGGACTACTGGCACTATACCTCTAGCCTCCAGGCCCTGACCCTGGCATAGGCTCCTTGCCCCTTCCAGCCATGCTAGGCCCCTCTAGTCCACATTAGGGGAGCCTGGCCTCCACTGCTATCCCTCCACCTCGACAGAAATCAGAGACGAAGACTATCCTACAAGAAGGCCAAGGAAATTCCTGTCCGCCTTCTGGGCTGGTCTAGCTTTTGGGTGGATTCCAAAGCTTAGATATTTTTCCACACTGGTGTTCCGGACAGGTGGTAACTCTGAAGTTACTGTTTGAAATAAGTTTGAGAGCGTGGAGGAGGCAGCCTCTCTAAGCTTCAAGAACGTCAAATATCTTTTACTTCCCAGCGCATGGGACACAGTCTTCCCTAACAGCACCTGCTAGGCATCACCGACTGAAACCCCAAAGCCGCATGAATAGTGGCAAGAAGGAAAGGAGAGAGACTTCAGACAAGCCATATATGGCATGAGACTTTCAACAATGAGCCGTCCTGCTTCCTGTCAGTCGCTAACCCCGAGTTGCTCGCTGTAACAGCACAATGATAGGAAAACGCTGAGCGTACAACAATAAGCCAAGGAATAAACAGCGCCCAGGTTTTTCTTGAAACCAACATATGCAGCGTGGTGACTGTGGTGTTTTGTTTATATTGCTATGCGACAGTAGAGAAAACATAAAGGTGATTTCAGTGAAAGGCACGGGAATATACTGTGCTATCTGATTGCAGTGTCCGAATTTAGACATGACAGATGCTGGGAGGCGTTCTGTGGTAGGCATCGACCACGGTGACAGACATGAAATTAGTGGGGTTCACGGTTAGGCTGCACTTCTGGTTTTAAAAATTCAGTGGTGAAAACTGTCAGCAGCCCTGGGCCAGGCAGTGCTGGGCTGGCTCGGGCAGGATCTAGCTGAATGTTTATAAAATCAGGAGCACAGCCTGGGGAGGCTTAAACCAAGCTGCCAGAGGAGGCTGCAAATCGATTTGTCAAACTGCAGATCCCAGAACACACCCACCCTACCTCCTTGCCTGCCTTCTGTTGGAGGCCTGATAGGAAAGACAGTGCGGTCCCCGAGGGTGACCTTCTATCTCAGAGGGGCAGGCCCCTAAACATTCAGCGGTGTGTGGGAATATTACACTTGAAGTCACAACTAAAGCCCAGCCTTCCAGGAAAAGTGGCCCCCACCCTCTGCCCGTTCCCCAAACTTCCCACGAACCCCTCCAACCAGGAAAAACGACCTCAGAAACTTCTGGAATCAGGTTCCCTCAGTTAGAGTGAAGGAAGAGATCTAGATAATTTATCCTAAATAATCACTTTCCCTTGGCCCTTTCCCTATGGCTTGCGTGGATAAGACCTGAGAAGGCCTCTTGTAACTGCTGCTGCTCCTCTGTGACCCTCAGTCCCCTCCCTCCCATGGGGTTGGGAGAGAAGAAGGCCCCATACCTCCCCCCCCCCACCACCTCGCCACCCCCTCCCCCAGTCCTGGGCTCCCTCTGCCCAAGAGAGAACAGATGGACAGGTAATGAGCGGGAAGAGATAGGCTCAGTGGTCCAGACAGAGTTGATCATTGATTATCCGTGCAAACTGTAAAGGTGATTTGTACCAAGTCCTCTAACCTGCAGATTCATGAATTCATTCTACAGATATTTACTGAGTGGCTCCTACATGCTGGGTTCTGTTCTAGGCACAAGAGACACAACTGTGAACAGAATATAAAAACAAAACAAACAAAAAACCCTGCTCTCTGAGCATTTCAAGCTGGGGGGGGGGGATTCACGAGTACAAATTGAGAAGATAATATGTAATTATCCTAAAACAAAGGCAAGCTGCAAGTCACTTGGCAAACATACAGGCTAGTCCCCCAAAATAAGGGACTCGGGGAAGAGAGCTAATTTTTACTGAATGCTTCCTTTGTGCACCAATAATGCTTTCCAAGCATTTACTATGTACTACGCTCATAGGAAGATGAGGGCAGGTGCTTTACACATTTCCCTTTAATCCTCTTGACGTCCCTGTTACCCCAATAGTCTGGACGAGAAAACAGACCCCTCGAGATGAGAATAACTTACTCAAGCACACCCTGCCTGGGAACTCCACACTGGAGTCTGACCCCTTTGTCAGGCCGGCTGGTGGCACGTCACTCTCTCACCTTGCCTACCTTCATCTGACCAGTCCTAAGGGGTTCAGTGTAAGCACCCTCTTCTTCACAACAAGAGTCCTGACTCCTCACTATTGCTGCGACCCCTTCTCTGGACTCCTTAATTAGATCATACATATAAAAGGTCATGACTAACCCAGTGGCTAACACATTGCTTTGTACCTACTTCCCTTCTTTACTATGTTTGTGGCCAGGAGTGAGAACTTTATCACTTCGTTATGTGCTTATTAACTTGTTCTATATGCATTGGGCTTGTTTCTGTAACATTAGCAACTCAGGGAACAGCATTTTATAGTTACGAATTATATATGTTCATTTATATTTATCTATTATAAATTATCTTTATAATACTTGTTTGACAGTGGTTCTCAAACTTGAGCATGCATCTGAATTACCTGGGGGGCTTGCTGAAATAGATTGCTGGGTCCCTCCCCCAGAGTTCCTGCTTTAGCAGGCCTGGCTCTGAGCTGAGAATATGTGTTTCTGACAAGTTCTACAGAGATGCTGATGCCGCTGGCCCAGGAACCCCTGTTTGAGAGCCACCGCTTAGGCGTGTGATGTACCACAGTGCTTAGGACCACGGCAGCTGAGTTCGAGTCCCACCTCTGCCACTCACATAGCTATATGACTTTGGGCAAGTAAACCTATTTGAGTCCCTTTCTTCGTCTGTAAAAACAGGGACCAACATTATACACATGAGGACTGTTGTCAGGGTTAAGTGTAAGAATGAATGCGATGTGCTCAGCACTGTCCCCGACACACTGAAAACATTCAAGAAATGCTTCCTATGATCATCCCTGGAAGGGCCGGCATAACATCAGGCACTAAGTACGCACTGAGTCCAGCCTGAGAATTCCTTCCAAGGCTGATAGAAAACTTGCTCTGAATTTGTAAGCAGTGAGACTGAAGGGTGTCACCCAAGTGTGACATCTACCATGAACAGCTTTTGAAATTAAGCCAGACTATTAAAAAGCACAACATAAAGGGCCTTTAGGACTGTCCCTCCCTAGAGTAGGCTGAGTGTAAATGCCTGGTACACAAAACCATGTGTATTTTTAAAATTCAGGGGCTGTCTTTGGGGTGCCCCCTTCACACCTGCCCTGAGGATGCCGAGCATGGCAACTTGTCCTCTGAGACTGAGCTCGCTGGAGTCGCCCAGGGTCTGGGCTAATGGGTTAGCAGACCGAGCAGAGCCCATCACTCAATAATTAACTAGTTGCAGCCACGGGAAGACAAACTCCCTAGAGCCCACAGGACAATCAACCTCCTCTTCCTTCAGTGGTTTCCAAGCACCCGGGCCACTGCTGCTCCCCACCAGCTTCAAGAACCTGTTCAACCAAAACAAGATTTCAATTCCCCGCCCCCCCCCCCCCAACCTCTTCCCGGTAATATAGGAGACCAGGGGCATGGCCCTCGCTCTCTGTGAACCACTAATCCGGGGAAATGCTGGTTCAATGCAAAGTTGAATGAGATCATCTGTGGTATTTAGCAGAGGCTGCGGGCTAGGGGTTGGGGAGACGCGGCTGCCCTTTGCAAACCTCTCTCTTCCGTCCATACTTCCATCCGCTTCGCGGAGGAGCACCACCCCCTCCTCCCAGCCCGCGGGACCCTCTCCTAACACCCAGAATAAGGACGACAACCCCCCCCCCCCACCAGGTTCCATTTTCACTCCTGGCCCCAATTTCCTAAACAAAACCATCATCGCCAGGTGGTGTCTCCACACACACCCTTTGCGAGCACCCCCCTACACAGCCCCCCTCATGGGCCCGGGGGATGCTCTCCCGGCGCCCCGGCCAGGCCCCCGCTGCGGTGGAAAGGCAGAAAGGCAGAGCGAGAAGGGGTGAGTGCCCTGGAGGCTGGAGGGAGCCACTCCTCAGGAGGTGAGGTGAGGAGGGGCTGGTGTCCCCGCATCTGGAGTCACCAGCAGGAGCAGAGGTTCCTCAAAGGTGAGAGCCACAAGGTGTCCCCCCTTCTCACCGTTTCTTGTCGCTCCATCTCTCCCTCCCTCTGTGCCTCCACCCCTTCACCCCTCCCCCGTATTCCTCCCCTCCCTCTTTGTCTGCCTCTTCCACACCTCCGCCTGTTCGAACACCCAGCCTTGTGGGGCCCGGCTCGGACGCCGCAGAGGCCAGCTCCCCCGGGACCCCGGCCCCGCGCTCCCGCCCGGCCCCTCCCCTGCCCGGCCCTCCCGGCTCTGGGGCTCACCCAGAAGAGCAGGTTGAAGCCGAGCAGCAGGTACTTGATGCACCGCAGGCCCCCGCGGAAGCGCCCCATGCTGCGGCCCCGGCGGCGGGATCCGGAGTCCCCAGGCCCGCGCTCGGAGCGCCGGGAGCGGCGGGAGCCGGCGGGGAGGGGGCGGAGCGCGAGGGGCCGTGGGCGGGGCCTGCGGGGGGCGGGGCGGCGGGGCGGGGTCTGGGCCCGGCGCCGGGCTGGAGCGGGCCCTGGGGGACCCCGGGAGACTGGCGTGGGGTGGGGGCGCAGAGGGGGCGGGCACCCGGCGGCCGGAAGGACGCGTCCTCCGCTCGGTCCCCGCCACGCTGGGCCGTCCCCGGGTTGCGGGGCCCCCCGGGTGCAGCGCTCTCGGCCCTCCCGCGGGCATCTGCGGGGTAGGAGCGTCCGCTGAGGACCGGAGACCCATTTAATCAGCGCCCTGTGCAGAGACTCATCTGAGGCCTGCGGTGGCGGTTGAGAATGAGGACGCGGCCCCGGTGGCTATGGAAACCTAGGAAGGTGCCCTCGCCTAGGAGAGAAAAGTAGGACGCGGGGCCGCCCTGAAGCTGGCAGGACCCGTCGCGGGGCACTCAACCCGGGGCTGTGCTCCCTGGCGCTGGGCGAGCGCACAGGCCTCGGGGCCCTCCTGGGGACCCCCCGAAGACCCCCTTCGGTCCCTCCCGCGTTGCTCTGAGAACTCTTACCTTAATAGGCAAGAGCTGGCAGAAGGCGCGGGATGCGGCTGCCCTGCGCCCTGACGGCTCCCGACCCTGCCCCTCCTGGACAGAGGAGGGGAGTCGGTGACACCCCTCGGGTCCCGCTGGATTCGACTGATCGGAGGGCTAAGAAAGGAATCCAAATCCTGGGGGATTAATTGTGATGTGGAGACGGGAGGAAAAGGGGGCGGGTCTTGTTTTGCTCTGTTTTATTAAGTTCAACTGCTGGCAGGGAAATGAGGCTCCCGCTCCCATTGACTAAGTGTCTGCAGTACGTGCCAGACGGTATGGGGGCGACAAGGAAGTGTAAAATCCAGGGATCCCGTGCATCGATTCAGCAAAACTTGAAGTGCCTGTTATAGGCGAGGCATAGTAGCAAGCCCCAGGGACTCAACAATGAGACAGTCAGGCCTGGTGGTATCTTCTCTGGTGGTAGAGAGCGATCTATCAGCACATAGTTGTAGCAAGATGAGGAGGTTGGCCAGGTGCCGGCCAGCGCAGCCCGGCCTTGCCTCATTAGACTGGGGAAGACTGGGAAGAGTGGGTCTCCAAGAATGAGGTGGGCACAGAGGCAGAGCAGTCCGGGCAGATGGGACAGCATGTACAAAAGCACAGGTCTGGAGGGACCAAAGACACCTCCCCACCGCCCAGCCCCCGCTCCCCAACTAGGAGAAACGTAGTGAGGCTAAGTAGAGGTACATCTGGGAGGTGCTGGGCATAGCTCTCAGCTGACAAAGGTCTGAAACTACCCTTAGATCTTAGTTTCCTCACTTGCAACCTGGAGATCACAGCACCTGCTTCATAGAGTTGTGAGGATTAACGGCTACAGTTTGTAAGGTGCCCAGAACAATGCCTGGCACAGAGTAAGTACTCACCAAAGCTTGGCTGTCACCACCTCGCACTCTATCAATCAACTGGTTTCTACCATGTTGCCATCTTTGCCTCCATCTGTGTCTTTGGACAGTTGTTTGAATGGTGAATTGTATTTATGAAAATGAGTAAGAAGGCAGAAAAATGAAAGTGCTGATTCTGGTAAGAAGTTTCAAATAGTGCAACAGAGACAAAGATGTGAGTCGTTAGGTATGCAGACAGAGGCAAATAGCTTCAATTGAACACAGTTCTCAATCTGTCATCTCTGTTCTATTATGAAGAAAAAGAACTAAAAAGTAGGGTCTAGTACATAGTGGGCATTCAATAAATCTCTGAACTGAATGAACAATCCTGATATTATATTTTAAATATATTGTTGAATTTTAAGTCTCTAAGACAAAATGCATTTTAGAGATGATATATTCAATACTCTTTGGGAACAGAACCCCTATGATAGCATGTAAATGTATTATTCTTTCATACTATGATTTTAGCACACACTAAGTAGTTAGAGACAGACGGCTGTCTACCTAACATAACAGGTTTAGATTTTGAATATCGACTTTCCCAGCTCCCTTGCACCCCATCTATAAAGCTGTGCCTTAGGGAAGCTAACCCTTGACAAGACTCGGGCACCTTAACTGGTAATACATTTGCAAGAGTACATTATTATATGAAACTGAGGGACTACATTACATGACATACTGAGGAAGTTAGCTTTCAAACTGGGTGTTATGCAAAGCCACAGACAAGATCTAGGCAGGAGATAAGATGGTTAGATGTCTGTTTTTAGAATGGTCAAGCAGGGGCCACATGGGAGATAGTTTCAAGTTAAGACTTGGGACTAAACAGTTCAGGGAAGAAATGAGAACTTGAACCAAGACAGTGGCAGTGGACATAGGAAGGCAGCTCCGATCTGAGAGAGACTCAAAGACTGAGAAAAGATCAAGACAGTCAATCTGAGGAGCAGAGGGGAAAGAAAGGTAAGGATGACTCCTGGGCTCCTTCCTAGGGTAACTAATCAGATCCTGGGACCATTCATACAGATGGGGAGTATAGGAGGTAAATCAGGTTTGGGGGAGAATGTTATAGATACTGTAGATGGGCTTACCCATCACCCAATCCTACATTCAATTTTCAGGACAGGGAAGCTGGGTACTTGCCTCTTGGTTTCCTTTGCTGCTAGGGCCACATTTCTGATTAATGGGATTTATGTGGAAGTTGGCTGGAGGCTTTTGGAAAATCTGAAGTTGTGTTAATAAAAGTTCAATTGTCACTGGCATTGCTTCCTTCCGTTTTCCTATCTTGAACTCAGACATGATGCCTGGAACAGTAGAACACTTTGTGGCTATGAGGGAAGGCCAGGTGGATGGCAGTCAGGAGACGGTTAAGCGGCTGAACCAATGCCAGCAGCCACCCACCTCCAGATCTCTTGTTACGTGAGAAAAATTGCCCTCGTTTTGTTTGTTATATTCTGATACTTGATATTTCTAACTGACACAGGAAGACAATAAACTCATATTTGGATCTGTTGAGTGTTAGATCTGATGGGGATTCCAGATGGAGCAGTCTGGGAGACAGATGGAAAGATGATTGGGATTCGGGAGAGAGGTTTCAGTTAGAGATTCATTAACAAATGGTGATAATAGAAACCAATGGTCTTCAAACTTTTGCCTGCACATCCCTCAAAGAATTAGGAAAAAATATTCCCATTTGTACACTTTCCCCAATAAGTTACTGTGAATATTTTCAAACATACAGAAAAGTTGAAATACTTGAGCAGTGAACAACATATACACACCACCTAGATTCTACTGTAAACATTTTGCTTTAGTTACATTACTTATCTTGACCATTTTCAATCCATTTTATTTTTTTATACATTTGCAAATATATTACTTATTTATTTTTTACAAATAGTTTATTGTCAAGTTGGTTTCCATATAACACCCAGTGCTCATCCCCACAAGTGCCCTCCTCCATGCCCATCACTCCCTCCCCCCTACACCCATCAGTCCTCAGTTTGTTCTCAGCATTCAAGAGTCTCTCATGGTTTGCCTCTCTCCCTCTCCCCCACTATTTCCCCCCTTCTTATTCCCCATGGTCCTCCATTAAGTTCCTCTGAATCCTATACGTGCAAACATGGTATCTGTCCTTCTCTGCCTGACTTATTTCGCTCAGCAACACCCTCAAGGTCCATCCATGTTGCTACACATGGCCAAGTTTCATTCTTTCTCATTGCCATGTGGTATTCCATTGTATAGATAAACCACATCTTCTTGATCCATTCGTCAGTGGATGGACATTTAGGCTGTTTCCATGATTTGGCGATTGTTGAGAGTGCTGCTATGAACATTGGGGTCCATGTGCCCCTATGCATCAGCACTCCTGTGTCCCTTGGGTAAATTCCTAGCAGTGCTTCCAAATATATTTTTGACGCCAATGCATTTCACTTCTAAATTCTTTGATATGCATAACACTACCCAGAGTTCATATATTTGTAGTTTTTCTTTTTTTCTTGAGGTAAAATTTCCCTCAATGAAATGTACACATTTTAAGTCTCCCATTTGATGTTTGACAAATGCTTTTGCGTTTACAACAGAGTCCCCTTGAACTTTTTACAGTCAGTCTATACCCCCATCCCTACTATAGGCAAGCACTGTTCTGATTTTTTCATGATAGATTAATCTTTTCTGTTCTGTAACATCATATAAATGGAATTATACAGTATTTATCCTCAGTGTATTTAAAAATTTTTTTTAAGACTTATTATTTTTTTTTGAGAGAGAGCAACAGAGCATGCATGGGGGAGGGGGAAAGAGAGACATGCACAGAAATCCGAAATAGGCTCCAAGCTCTGAGCTGTCAGCACAGAGCCTGATGCGGGCCTCGAACTCACGAGCTGTGAAGTCATGACCTGAGCCGAAGTTGTACACTTAATCGACTGAGCCACCCAGATGCCCCTACCCTCACATATTTTTAAATTGACATATAAAATTCTTTTCTTTCATAAGTTTGAATATCTGCAAAAGATGTCATTTCGAATGTATTTTAAGTATTGACATAAAAAATGGTCACATCCCTCATTTTAATGCAGCCAGTGGAAACTTAGTGCCAGTGTCATTTCTTTTTATGTATCAGGTTTAGCACTGAAAATGACAATACGAAATATTTAATCAGGCCTAGTAGATGACAGTTACTCAATTTTTAAATTAATTCAGAAAACTGAATTCAAAATAAATTTTTATTGAGGTGCAATTGACATACATTAGATTAGTTTCAAGTATACAACATAATGATTCAGTATTTGTACATATTCATCACCCATTTAAAAAACTGTATAAACAAACTCATCTTCAACAGAGTAAAGGTTTTACAACTTTTTCTCCTTGAACTTGAACTTCCATTCCATCTTTTCCATGTGATGTAATCCTAAAGTAATTTTTATGCTTGAAAGCTTTTTCTTGAATGTCCTTTTATACTTGTCTGAACAAATACTACTATATGTTTATTAAAAGAAATTTTGCCTCTG